GTTGTAAAGTGTGCTCATATGTGCTTATGTTGCTGAGGTTTTTTTCCCAGTCTTCTTCCACCTGAAAAACATTGCAGGCCTCTGCCCCTCACTCTCCACTTCTGCTGCTGAGACTCTCATCCAAGCTTTCATCACATCTAGAATTGACTATTGCAACAGCATCTTATATGGTACATCTTCCAAAGTTCTTAATAAACTTCAGCACATCCAGAACTCTCACCCCTGTCCTCCAGAACCTCCACTGGCTCCCTGTCCAACAACGGATCCAATTTAAAGTCCTTCTCCTCACTCACAAACTGTCGATAGTTGAGTTGCATTGTGGGTAATGTAGGTGGCAGATTCTGACAAGAAATGACTGAGAATACCAGTTGTATTAGAGCTGTTTGCTCTAGCAGTGAAAAGGGATTTCCCTTTTCTCTTCTTTGGTGGACACACCAGGGGTAAAAAGGGGTAAAAAATCATGTTAGGTTGTCACCTCATCAAGGAGCATCCACACACACAATTATTCGAGTTAGTCAAGAAATGACTGATGAATGACTGACAAATTTCTGGGTGTGCCAGTCAATCACTACTATTTAGTTATTTTTTATTGTTCCAAAAATAATTTAATCCAGTGTTAATTTAGTGTAAAACACAAAAAATTTCACTGAAAATCAGAGTGGAATCAGAAAACAGCATTAAGAACCATGTGTTTGTTGTTTTCAGAGGTGGGACCAAGTCATTATTTTGCAAATTACAAATTAAGTGACGACTTGCTGGAACTGAATAGCATTAACGTGAGCTGATTCAGTAAATGGGAAATAATAGACAGTCACACTGTTTAAATAACATTATTAACGTTATCAAGTATTTTCAAGTCAACAGGCTCAAGTCCAAGTGAAGTCAGTGGTATTAAAGTCCAAGTCAAGTTTTTTTTCATTTTGTCAGGTTGAGTCTGAAGTCATCAAATGTATGACTCAAGTCCAAAAGAAGTAAACGCAAACATAAATGAAATCCATTCCTTTTTAATAGCTGAGACTATCAACACAGAACAGAACAGGTATTCACTAGCTAAGAAACTGTGTTTGAATGTGTGTGCAAGGCTTCAAAACAGGAATTATAAAAAGGGACTAGAGAATAAATTAATGAATAGAGAATATAATGATGAGAAGAGTATGGTTTGTTTCCTGCAAATGATGGGACTGCTGCATTCCTGAACTAGCCTCAGGGGCTGGAACATGTGAGATTACAGGTATATCCACTTAATGATGCTTCACTTTATACCTCTCCATTGACCTGCTTTGTTCAAGCATTTGGTCTGACTTTGGGATCCTGCTGGCTAAATAACTAATGAAATCCCTCCTGGTAGACTGGAAAGTTGCATATCAGAACCAGCAGGGAGAAGAAATAATCAAATGTAATAATGGAAAACCATTTGTGTGGGGCACAGAATCTTGTGTTTGATTCAGCACAGACAGAAGTCCACACTTTTTTGACAGTTGCTGTGAGGAATTAACTCCAAAAAGCCATGTCCCAGATATAATGAGGGTGGAACCAGGTGAGAACCTTCACTTCATACTGAGATTCCAATTCAAGGTGAAAGGTTGCCCAGAGGAAGGTGCACCGATTGGATGAGATTTAGCTCTTAAAAAATACAAATTTCCAGTCTCAATTGAACCTGGAGCATGAAGAAAGATGGAAAGAGAAGCAGACAGTGTTTGTTTTGTTTGTGTCTAAGAGAGAGAGAGAGAGAGAGAGAGAGAGAGAGAGAGAACAATCAATACAATATAGCTCTTGGTAGCTATAAATAATAGGAACAGGATATTACATCAACCTCTGCATGGGCACAGGACATATTAGGGCCAGTGAAGCTCTGTCTATGGAGTTTGTAATGCCCTTGTGCACTTAGCATTATTACTGCTCAGCGCATGAAAGGTTTCAGCAGTCAGAATGTGGATCTGTTTCAAAGTGAATGCACACTGTCCACCATTTCATAATGTGGTGACAACTCAATCTGACACAACAATCTGGTGTAAGTGGGTTCCTTTTGATTTTTATGATAATGTCAAAATGAAAAAAAGGTCCTATAATTTTAATAGTAATAATAAATCTTAGCTACCCTGCTAGCAGGCCCAAGAGGCTACTAATTCTGCCCCCAAGTATGAAGGAGAGGATAGGTTTGGGGGAGAT